TCAATTTAAGATACGCAAATTCAGCTATGCGAATAGCGTAGCTGAATTCGACCTATCGGAGCCGACTTACTCCGCTGTGAGGACGGCGGCAAAATCGACCTCCGCGGCTCCCCGTCGATGGCGCTTACTCCCACCTCCGCTGGTGGAGTAAGAGCGTCGATTCGGGGATCGATTGTCGCGTCCCAACGAGACGCGATAATTCGATCCCCGAGAGATTGATTTCCACCCGCCGATTCAGGCCGGTAGTGTAGACCTAGCCTGAGAGACACTGCACTAGCAGCCAGATATTCCCCTAGGCCATATAGGGGCTGTCTCTCTCTCGCCGCAGTGAGCACCGCTGTCAATGTAAACAGGGCCCACTGGCTCTGAGCCAGTCCATCCCTATAAGGAGCCTCCGCTTGGGTAGGGAACCCAGGATAGAGGTAGCAGAAGACACTGCGACTCAGGATCAGTTGTGTCCCAGGCTTGGAGCAGCGGAGGGCAATCCAGGCCAGGAGGGAAGTGCATCAGCAAAGCTGCGTGTGATGACAGGAACAGACCAGTTAATGGTCTTGTGCGTCAGGGGCTATTGGCAGAGCTGGGAGATGGGGTGGCCTCAGGACTGAGCTGTGGGGGAAACCTTGCCCACTGCCCACTCTCCTGCTGGCTGACTGTGGCAATTAGAGTCTGCCAATGCCCCCTTTAAAGAGGGACAGGAAAACCCCATCCAGTCCCTTTCCTAGGCGTAGGCCAAGTCACAGCCCCTCCGTCCTGCCACCTTCAGCTTTCCTAGGGCAATTTGAATCTGCGGCCATCCAGCCAGTTCCACACTCACACCAAGGCAGAGCCAAGCTGAAATGAGCATTACCCAGGCTAATGACTGCGATCTCTCCTGAGGAGCAGTTGCGAGGCCCCACAAAGACCCCTGACACCAGGAGGAGGGTGTCATCTGAGTTGAACTGGGAGAACTGGGTGTAGCTCCAGTTGTACCGCCTCATGTTGGAGCTGTGGAGCAGGGAAATGGCCAGCTCGTTGTTCCAGATCTGAGGACAAAGGGGACAGGGCAGGCTGTTAAGAAACCTGGACTCTGTCACTCAGAGCATCTGTCATCAGATGACCAGGATTTGCAGAGCACCAGACCGGAGGCCCGGGAGCACATGGATGGAGATGTGCTAACCCCATCTTGCTGCCAGAAAGCCATTCAGAAGGGAACCGGAGGGTTTGCAGTCACTGCTATGAAGAGCTTTGATGAATTTGGCCCCAACCAGTGCACTGCCCTTGTTACTGTCATTCCCTCAACCTCAGAGGGTTGGTGCTCTGCAACACCCAGGACAGTTGTGCCTCAGAGCTCAGTTCTGCCTCCTGGTTCATTTTAGGGTCATATCCTAAGTTACCCATATTAAGCCACACGCAGGGGCTCAGGGCTGCGGCGGGGAAAGGCACCCCCCAGTGCGGACCTGTCGCGGACGGAGGAGAGGAGCCCCTCCGTCGGTCCGGCCCAGCCCCACTAAAGCTACTGCGGCCAGGGAGAGGCACCTCTCTCCTGGCCCTGGGCTTCTGCGGCAAGAGAGGGCTGGGGGAGTCCTCTTTTCCCACTGCAGTCCCAGGGCTGCCTGCACCCTAAACCCCTCATCCCCAGCCCCACCCCAGAGCCCACCCACCCCTTTCCAACCCTCTGCCTCAGTCCTGAGCCCCCACCCACACCCAAACCCCTCATCCCCAGCCTAGAGTCTGCACCCTCCCCACACACACCCCAACCCCCTCCCATACGCCAAATCCCTCGGCCACATCCCCAGCACATGAATTTTGTTATGGGCACTAATATGAAGGTGATGTGTCACACATCACCTCCTTATTGGTCCCCATAACAAAATACATTCCGCACACGGACGTAAGAAATTAGAGGGAACCCTGGTCACTGGCTGGGGGAGGGACCTGACTGCACAGGGCCCCAGTGCAATGCGAGTGGGATTGGAGCTGGGCTATGCTAGCAGGTCATTGCAGTCTGACAGGACTCCCCTGGGTCCTGGCAATGGAGCTGGTGTCTAGGTAGGGACACCTGGCCTTAACTTAGTCCACCTTCCAACCTCCCCATCACCACTGGCCACCTCAGCAGTCAGGCTGGACCCCGCTGCACCCAGCCAGCTTTCGCCAGGTCAGGGCCAAGTGAAGCCAGTCAATGTGCAGATGTTACTCAGGAGCCCCCAGATGAGGCACAGGGAGGGGACATGACTCACCCCAGGGGACAGCAAGTCAGTAGCAGAGTCTAGGCCCACAAAACTGTTCACACCACTTGTTTCCCTGCTCTCCCAGTCCCTGCCCAATCATTGCCCACGCTGGGGTGACAGCACATGGCTTGGGGCTTATGTCAGAAAGCCCAGTGAGGGAGAGCTCAGGCGAGGGAATTAGGTTAGGGGGTCTGTTACAGGAGCAGGTGGGGAAGGGTCTGTGGCCTGTGATGAGCAGGGGGTCAGACTAGCTGATCATGATGGTCCCTTCTGGCCTTACGGTTTATGCGTCCAGAGATTGCCTCTGGACACCTCCAACTCCCCCTCCTTCCCCAGCCAAACCCTCGTCCCTGCGCAACCCACTGCTCCCCCTCCTTGATTTCTATGCACCAACGAGAGCCATGTCACACAGGAAATGCACTAAGCCCTGCAAAGGAAGCAAAAGGGGTCTAGAAAAGAAGTCCCAGAAGTCACACGGTGATAACCAGCCACTCGAAGGGCCAGACTGAGCAGTTCAGATGGCTCGAAGCCCCACAAACTCAGATGCCAACCTGCCCATCATTCCTTCTGCTTTCTGGACATTAAGAAGTTTCATCCCCAGAATCCCTCCCCACAGCTCCTGACTAGAAGGCCTGACAGCACTAACCAGAGAGGGTCAGCATATCAGAGCTCAACGGAAGATTTTCACAGCTGGAGTCTGACTGGGTCCAGCCTAGATGAGTGAATATACCCCTCAGAACAATAGCCGCATGCCCTTTACCTTAACTGTGCAGTCCTTGGAGCAGGATGCAAACAGGTAGCCTGTGTGGGAGAAGCTAAGGTGTAAGACCTGGTCATTGTGCTCAGTCAGGGTCTGCACTTCAACACAGGGGATGGTGTCATAGAGCCTCTGGAAGTCCTCATACCAGGAAACAGCAGCTACAACACAAACGGATAGGAGGGAGGAGTCAAAGCTCAGCATAGGTGGAAGCCATAAAGCCACATGATTTGTCTATAGCAGGGATTTAACATTTCTCACTAGCGTTAGCAATGGCAGGAGCCCCAGTGTAGACAAGGCTGCCACAGCTGCAGCCATTGGTAATCAGGTTTGCTCTGAGCAGCTTAATAAATAGAGTAACTCCTCATTTAACGTTGTCCCATTTAACGTTGTTTCAATGTAACGTCCTTGCTCAATTAGGGAACTTCGCGCTTAGGACTTTCTGGGAGGGAGGGGCAGGAGCAGGGAAGCGCTGCGTCTCTGCTCCTCCCCCTCCCTCCCTGAAAGTCCTAAGTGCCGCCAAACAGCTGTTTGGCAGCACTTAGGACTTCGGGGGGAGAGGGAAAGAGATGTGGCTCCGGAGAGGAGGTGGAGGGGGGGGTGGGAAGAGGTCGGCCTGGAGTGGCGCGGGGACAGGAAGAGGCGGGCCTGAAGCATTCCTGGCAAAATCCGAGCCTGTTCTCCGGGGAAGCTACCGCTGCTGCTGCAAAGGTGCTACCTAGCGTCCTTGCCTGCAGGGGGCTGTGCCTGTGTGGGGTAAGCCGGGGCACTTCCCAACCACAGTACAGTACTGTACAGTAT